GCAATTTCATTGGCTGCACCCGTTCATATGACGTTGTCCAATGACATTGAAGGACTGAACCTCTCAGAATCTCATTCAATGGTAGCGCGGTAAAGTTAAAACATAATTCAGAGTAATAATTTAATATGCAATTGAACTTTCTATAAGCAGTATTTTTCATCCGATAATGAAAAACACTGTAGGATCATTATTATTTATTCACAAAATGTATTAACGGTATCGTTAGAAGAAAGGTACTAAAACCTACAAATCAAGCCAGAATTCTTGGTGCAGTTATATACTTGGTCTTTAATATCAAGAGCTGCATGAGGACAGCCTACTACCACCTTACAAACACAGCAAGAATTAAAGGATTTTTGTCTAAACAAGACACATAATGGCTTTTATAATAGCATGTATTTCGTGGCAAAAAAAAAATAAGACTGACTACTTGTGCAGTATAGGATTGATTTTGAAATACTGATTTGAATAGAGAACAAAATTGCCTCGGACCTAAATACATTTCTGATATACTTGAACATGATGAGGCACTCACACGCCTGAGGTCACCTGGCAAAGGTTTACTCAGTGATCCGAGAATCGAGACCAAACAAGACGAAGCAACGTTCAGTTTCTGTCCTCCCCGTCCATGGAACAAGCTTCCCGAAAGCATGAGATCCGCTAAAAAGTTTAGTCCATTTAAATCAGGGCTAAAACATTGTTTGCTGCACATATTCAATAAATAAAATCAGTCACACACTCGCTACAATGTAACTTGTATTCAGTGAACTATTTGTTTGGCTTTCGTTTTTTTAAAAACGTAATTTAATAATAATTGCTGTTCTTCTGTTTCAGTATAGAACTTCGAAATGCTTTGTCTCAGTTGTGCTATACAAGTAAACTTACATTGGGTAACTTCGTGAACACCTGTTAGAAGGTAATTTCTAAGATGTTTACTGTCGTGTGGTATATAGCTTTGTATTCGTCAGACCAAACACACGATACAAATACAAAAGTCTTGTTTAGGTGAAGTATAATGTAAAGAAGACAACGCTCTGTTTCAGAGATCAGTGGGTGGCTCTTAAAAGAGCCTTTGTTCTCCAAGGTCTGGAAGTCAGCGCCTGTTCCTTTACTTCTTCTTGGGAGCGGCTTTTTTGGCTTTGGTAGCCTTGGGTTTGGCGACTTTAGGCTTGGCTGCCTTTGCTTTCTTTGGGCTCTTGGTGGCCTTCTTTGCTGCTGCCGGCTTTTTCGCCTTCTTGGGACTCTTGGTCGCCTTCTTGGCTACGGCCGGCTTCTTTGCCTTCTTGGGAGACTTTTTGGCGGCCGCCGGCTTCTTCGCTGGGGAGGCCGCCG